CAAGACTGATAACAAGAAGAGAACTGACCTATATACACAAATAAATATAAAAAAATTCACACATTTATAAATGGAGTGTTTGATTTAATCATCATATGAATACAAACATCTGAAGCCCTCTCTATTAATTTACTCTTTTATTTAATCTGTTTTGGATGTCTTCCACATCTGTTATGTCTATCTCATTATTATCCAAGGATGGAAATGTATACAGCATGGATTCATGCTAACTGAGCCAATCTCCAAATGATGGACATTTAGATTATTCCCATCTTTCATTATTACAAAAACAAACAAACATTGCTGTGGACATCCTTGGGTACCTATCACTATAGTTCTGTAAAAGAATCATGCACTTAGGATTTGAACTATTGGTGGATTCAAATATCACCTCTAAAATTTACTGCTTCCCAACTGTAAAGATGTAAGAGAGCTGCACATGCATCAGAAACAAGTTGCCTTCACAACAGAATCCCCAAACTATCACTCCCCTCTTGTATCCACTAGGAACAAACAAACTTGCTATTGCTAGCACAAAGCCAGGTGTCGGTATTATTGTGTTTGAAACAATCATGAGTTCACTAAAGCGGGAGCTGCCTTATCTCATGCTGCCGCTACTTCCTCCCACAGCCTGCACAGGAAGATGGGGATTGACTTCGCCAAAGTCAACTGGCTGGAATTTTCCAGAGGTGCTTGAGGCAGAGCAGTGGATGTTGTCCGTGGGATAGATGATCTGTTGTGTGGGCAGGTCTCTTCAGTGTCCTCTTAGCGTCATTCCGAGTGAATGAACATAACATACAAGGCAATTAATGCTATAGTTCCCTAAACCTCCAATCCAAATCTTCATAAGTAAGGTTCTTGCCAACAGTCCTTGCCCGTCTCTTGGCCATCCTGCACCCTAGTGACAGATCAGTTGGCAGAAGAAGGAAGAAATTGTTACTGCCTTGCTTAGGAGTCAGCCTCTGCTGAGTCCTCAAGTATCTCCAACCACCACCTCTTGATAAACCCATATGCTTACAACATTCTGGGTGCCTACTTAAGTTTTCAGTCTTCCAGCCTGTTTCTCTTCAATGCTATCTTCACTCGATTCAAATAGGGCAGACAGTGATCCTTAAACTTACTGTCCATTTCCTGTTCTCTGTCTGACACAGCAGACCTGTCAGAACCCTGTCCAGCTCTGTAGGCCTAGCTCAAAGCCTTCTTCACACCTAATTCCACTAAGAGGTGCACATAGGTCTTTACATAGAGTTCTTTACTCTGTGGGGTGTCTGTGGGTATGGGCTTCTTTACACATTGCCACCAAGTGATCCTACACACTGCAGGAAATGAGGCAGGAAGACTAACACAGCAGGCTATTCACTCAGGAGGGAAAGATGAAGAATAGAATCCCTCGCAGACTGCCCACTGTAAAGACCTGGAATTGGCCACCTTTTGGTGCATATGTATTCATGTTGGGACATGAAAATATGCACGGGGTATTCTTCCTTATGTTCATGTGATTGCAGGTGCAAGTCTCTGTGTGGCTGTGCTTGCATGTGTGTGTGTATGAAGGCCAGGGGACAACCCCAGCGGTCATGCCACAGGCGTTATGTTTTGTTTCGAGATACATTTTGATTACATTTTGTTTGTTTTGAGGTTCTTACTATCCAGAGCCCTGGCTACTCTGGAGCTCTGGAGATCTGACTGCCTCTGCCTCCCAAGTCTTGGGATTAAAGTCATGTGCCACCACACCTTGTCATTTTTCAGGAGATGTGGTACATGAGGAGAATGTGTTAGCAGTGACATCTGCAGGCTGTGGGTTTCTGTGGGTTTGTGTTTAGAGATGGTTCTCTAGATAGTGATCAAGGGGAGAAAAATATGTAGCCCAGGCTAGCCTCAAACTACTCATTCCCACTCCTCTTACCTCTTTATTGAATATCCTACCAACACATACACCACAACTGACAGGCACTGTGATGTTTTTGCTTTTTTAATATGGTATGTGCAGTGTGTGTGTACATGCGTGTGTGTGTGTGTGTGTGTGTGTGTGTGTGTACATGTGCCAAAACTGGGTAGGGGGAGATCAGAAGACAACTTGCAGGAGTTGATTCTCTCCTTCCACCCTTGTATGGGTTCCGTCAGTCCTGGATGTCAAACCCAGGCCAGCAAGCACCTTTACCCACTGACCATCTTGCTTCCCTCTCCTTTTATTTTTATTTATTTAGAGATGGGTCTTTTTTCTGTGTAGCTCTGGAAGTCCTGGAATTTGTTCTGTAGAGCAGGGTAGCCTGAAGCTCAGAGATCTGCCTGTCTCTGCTAATTCCCTCCCCCTGGGTTTAATGGCCAGTGCCACTATGGTCCACAGCCCTCCTCTTCGGTTTGAGTAGTTTACCAGCTGGCCCAGGAAGCCTGGTATTCATCCACCTGTCTCCACCTCCTCATTACTAGGATTAAAAGCATGTGCCATCACAGCTAGCTTTGAAAATATGGATTCTGAGGATTGTACTCAGGTCCCTGTGCAAGACAAGTATTATATATGAACGGAACTATTTCCCCAGGCCCGTGCCATACTTCTTTAAAAAAAAAAAAGAAACTTTATTAAGTATCAAAAAATATTCAATTTATTGATAGGAAAAGTATTGGTGTTCTCAATATCAAAATGGTACAATTTGTATTTATTTTAAAAGTCGCAATATCAAGACATTCTTCTTTATTCTTTGTGTTAAAATACAAGAGCCAGGATGTAAAAGCACAGAGTTTTTCTATGCCCTCCTTTGTTCTGACATAATGACACAAAGACCTGGTGTATTTATTAAAAGCTTCAGGCACTAAGCCGGGCAGGATTCTGAGCATTTCTAACCTGACTATGCCAGCCTGGCCTACTTCCCAGTCACTTCACTTCCCAGCCATGTGGTGTTACCTGCCATCTTGGCCTCCCCCTCCCTCATCTCCTTCTACTCAGTGGAGACTCCCTAGTGACTCTTCACCTGGGATCCTTTCACTGGGATCAGAAGGCTCACCTTAACTCTTCTCCCCAACTATAGCTGATCAGATCTTTATTTGACCAATCGGAAGATGATGGAGAACAAGGGTTTACAAAATAAGGATTCAGGAAATGCCTCATCATAATGACAATATCAAAATCCAGACTGCACCCCAGACCTCCTGGTACAGAAATCAGTATTGGAATACACAGCACACAAATGCATCCCCCAACACCAGGAAACCTTGGTAGCTCATTACTGTTATAAACCTTAAAATCTGGGTCTGGAAAAGAACCTATTTGAGAGTTTGTATTTTAACAAGTTCCAGAAATGAGAACATTGAAGAACTTTTCTTGTCTTTAGGCACCTGGATGCCTTATTTTTCAATAAGATTTTTTTCTGTTAATAAAGCAGATTTCGAGTCTCAGGTCTCTGCCATTTGCTACCACAGTGCCCAGCCTCTCTTGAGGTAAGGAACGTGTCTTACTCTCTTTATTCTCCTCTGCAGAGGGCCCGGTAATAATCTTTATTGCATAGTAGGCCGTCAAGAAATTCATGTTTATGATGATGAAGAAATACCTTGAGAGAAAGTGACTTCATGTGTGTTACGTTTTTATTTTAAAACACCACCACCTACTTGGTAGTAGTCATGCTCAGGAAGTATTCTTTCTTGCCGGGTTCCTTTCACTGGCTCACCCAGCTGGAGCTAAAAGGTGTGGCTACACATGGAGGCATGCGCCTGCTTGTACTTGGTATTATCTGAGAAGCTCTCACATTGCTCACACAAAGTATTCCAAAAATATTTTCCCACTCCCATAACTGGCTGCTTCAATTTTTCATTGTTACTTATTTTTTGGATTAATCAAGGACCCTGATATTAAAGAGGACAGATATATTACATTATACTTAATTAATGGCCTCTTAGCTCTGAGTGTCCATAGCATTTAGAATATACCTTTCATGACTTCACTCGGTTCGGTGTATTGGGAATATTACTCTTTCTGGTTTTCCAAGCCACTTCCTGTTGTCTTCAATACCTGGAGACAAGTACATAGGAAGTCCTTAACTATGTTGTTGAACCTAATTTAAGCAGCTGTTTCCTTAAGGTCTAAAAGTTCCTACAGGGGCATCTAAAAAAACTGAGCCACGGGATGTATGAGGAAGAGTTCCATCAAATGCCCTACTTGCTTGGTTTCTGTATTGGGGACAACAAACACAGAAAACAAACTTAGTCTCATCTTTGTTAACCTTGACCAGTGGCTTACCCTGAGCAGGCTCTGGTCAACGGAATTGCCCTCAGTAACTAAAAATATGTCATGGACAGAACCAATCCTAATCACATAGTCCTGTTCCCACCCCAAGGAGACTGAGCTTGCTTTCTGAGGAGAGGACCTATATTATAAACATTTGTCTTAAGATTCTTGCAACAGTCTGTGAGGTTTTTTTGGAGGGGGGAGGCTGGAAGTTGGGCATTTTTTTTAAAATAATGTTTATAAAAATTGTTAAAAGAGATTCTGGAAGTGTGGCACATAACAAAAAACAAGACAGTCAGCAATTATGTAGAGCTTTCCAGGAGTCAGATATTCTCCGAATCATTTTGTATGTATTAACCCGTTTGCTCTCCCCAGCAACACTAAGAGGCAGGCAGATACATTTTTCTCATTTCCATTTTACAGATGAGGAAATCAAAAACACACAGTTTTGTGACTCGTCCAAAGTCGTACAGTTACAGAGTCCACGCTTTGAAGCACTATATCCTGGTCGTTTAAATGAAAATGAATATTCATCTTCCCCTGAACATATTTTAACAGCAGATTGTCTAGTAAGTGTAGTCCCTTATTAGATTATCCCTAACCTACAGGGTCGCTATTCTTGTAGCAAAGCGTCGTGTGCACCTGTGGTCACGAGGGGGCGCCGCTGCCACGCACCGTGGTCCCCCTCCAGCAGGCATCCGAGGGGGCGGAGCCTGAGCTGGGCGGGGCCCGGCAGGACGCCCACTGGGTAGCTATCCCGGCGGGCCGCGCGCGGCGGTGTTTGAATGGCTCTGAGTGGGGCCCGGCTTGGGATCTGGAGGACGCTCTGAGCTGCCGGGCGCGGTTCATCAGCACAGTGCCCCGGCTCAGGCGCTGCGGTACCATGAGGCGCCGGTAAGTGACGGCCAGACTGGGTTGGGACCTTCGCTGGGGCTCGTGTGGCAGGCTTCTGGGGCAGCTGGCCGGGCCCACCTGCAGGCCCCGCGGCAGCGGCCTTTCCCAGGCTGGGCGGCGGGGTCGGGGCGGGGCGCAGGCGGGTGGGGCCCCGATCTGCCGAGGAGCCCCCGGGCCAGCGGTAGCTGGGAGGTTGGAGCTGCAGGCCTCGGGGGTCCTGGCTGGAGAGGCGTGGATCAAACCTGCTGTCATTTATTTACCTTCGGGTGGAGTCGACATCTACACCCCACGGGGAAAGACGGGACGCGTGAGAAGATTGCTGTGCGAGGATAGGTTTTCCCCAGAGCTGCCTAGGCCCGGCTGAGGCATTTCCTTATTTTCTGAGGAATTTTTGATTCCCAGACAGATCGGCTTTTGTTTCTCAGGACAGAAACCTGACATAGCCGCGTAAGAATCGTTGACTGCAACTTTTAAAACTTTGTTGTGCTTTCTGAAAACTTATTCTGTAGTTGTACCTAGGTGCTTAACTGGGCTTGTGTATGGAAATAACAAAGAGTTGATTTGTTTTGTCTGGCTTATAAAGTTCCTTGAAAACATTTATATCAATTTCTTGGCAGATCTGGAGAAAAAAGTAACTGGAAGAGATACTAGTTCTATAATTATTGCCAGTTTCGTACTTAACGAGCATTCTGAGACACCAGACCACCTAATATCTGAAACTTACACAAAATCATTTAGGATTTTTCTTCTTTCTTTTAAATCAGCTTCTTCAAGTCAAAAGTTTATGCACGACGTTTTTTACTTGGCTAGTAGCTGGGCTTGTAATAAACCGTAACAAGTAACAAGTGATATTTATTTTGGTGGTTTTTTTTTTTTTTTTTTTTTTTTTGGTGCTAAGGGTTGTTTTAAGAGTGCTGCTTTGGAATAGGTAGTATTATCATCGTTTTGACAGGGGAAAAGGCACAGGCAAATCAAGTACCTTGGGCAGGGTTACATAGCTATTTTACTGCTGCTATAATCTCTGCCTTGCTCTTACTAATGTCCAAAGTGTTGTTTCATTTACTTGAGCTTCGGAAATATTTATGTGAGTACACCTTTGTGACACATGAATGAATCCACACACCAACCACATTCTCTGCGCGTGTTGATCACACTTAAGTTTGGTGTCTGAGCCAAAAAAAAAAAAAAATGTTTCTAAGATAAATAGAAATAAGGTTTATGGGTTCATTTTTCAGAGACTGTGTAGAGAGCAGCTGGAAACATGATTCTTTAAAACTGGGGTACTGTTTTGTATTTGGAATGAATGTACTTAATAACACCTTGCAGAGAGATGCATCTCAGCTACGCCGAGTAGTCAGCACTTATTTATACGGGCCTTTTACCTTCATTCAGTGATGAATGATTTCAGTGATGAAGGGTTTGATTGCATTAGTGTCCAGCTCAGTACTGAATCCAGTCAGCTTTATGCAAGAAATGTGCCAGGCAACAAATCTTGGGGAAGTTAGTTTGGTGTGAGATTAGTTACAAAGTAATATACTTCTTCATTGTTGTAGTGATTTATGATGATCTGAACTGAGTAAAACTGCTCCAGAGCTAACAATTGAAGGACTTATGTAAGACATTTAATAGAAGGGGAGGCAGGGTATGTTACTGAGGAAACTGTTCAAAGACTAGGAATTCAGAATAAAAATTACTTTTATTGGGAATAGTAAGCCTGGTCATTTAAAAAGTTCATGTTGGTTAACATCGTATGAAACAAGACTGGGAAATGTTGTAAATGAGACAGGTCATAGAGGTCTGATAGACACACACAGAGCTCTCAGCACATGTTATAAATGAGACGTGTCCTAGGGTCTGATACACACACACACAGTTCTCGAGTGTACAAATGTTGTAAATGAGACATGTCATAGAAGTCTGATACAAACAGAGTTCTCCAGCACACAGAGATGAGGGAATTTGTAAACTTTTGTTTCAGTGGCTCTCAACTGGGTGAAATTTTCTCCTCCATAGGATATTTAGGGCTGTCAAACTTAAGGAAAGGGTGATACTGTCAATCTACTGACCATAGGCTGGAGTATTTATAAACATCCTACATCAGGCAGACCCCCAAAAGAAACAATCACTCCAAGTGTCAGTGTAGCTGTGGCTGCAAAGCCCTATTTTAAGTTGGTTGGTTATGTGGCTGGCTTCTGCTCGAATATGCTATAGGTAAGTATGAATGACAAATTTTAGGAACACAACTAGACTTTATAATGACATTAGGAGCTGGTTTAGAGCTGTTCCAGTCCTGGAGGAGAGATGTGTAGGAGATAGACAGGAGCACTGAGAATGCTAAATTAAGGTAGAATCACTTAAATATTATTTTATCTAAATATAAAAATAACAAAAGTTCATTTGAAATAGAAAATGAACATAATAGAAAATAGAAAACAGAACATAAGCAAAAATCATAAGGCCCAGCAGGGTGGTTCAGTGGCCAGAAGTGCTTGCCTTACAAGTCTGATGACCTGAGTTTGATTCTGGAACCCACATTAAAAGAACAAAAAAGACCCCAAGAGGTAGATAAAGTGTCACAAATCTATAATCTCAGTCAAACACTCTGATGGGAGGCTTAGGAGAGATGGGAGACAGAGGAGTCCCCAGAAGCTTGAGGGCCACCTCACCTGCAGTATTGCAGCATGGTAAAAACAAGAGAGACTCTTAGGGGCTGGAGAGATGGCTCAGCAGTTAAGAGCACTGACTGTTCTTCCAGAGGTCCTGAGTTCAATTCCCAGCAACCACATGGTGGCTCACAACCATCTGTAATGTGATTCAGTTCTCTCTTCTAATGTGTGTCTAAAGAGAGCTACAGTGTATTCATATACATAAAATAAATTTAGAATTTTTTTTTTTAAAGAGGGACTCTTCTTCAGCAAGGTAGAAATGAAAACCAACTCCCTAAAGTTGTTCTTTGACCTTTATTTGCACTCTGGCATGTGCATGCACACACAATATTTAATAAATAATTTAAAATTAATTAATTTTTATTTATATTTATTTATTTATTTATTTATTTTTGGTTTTTCGAGGCAGGGTCTCTCTGTATAGTCCTGGCTGTCCTGGAACTCACTCTGTAGACCAGGCTGGCCTCGAACTCAGAAATCTGCCTACCTCTGCCTCCCAAGTGCTGGGAGTAAAGGCATGCGCCTGGCTTAAAAATTAATTTTTAAAAGTTTAAATAAATCACCTATAAATACCCCAATAGAACAACTGTTAATGTTTTGATGTATGGCTTCTTTTGAAGCTTTTTAAAGGCTGATAACTACTTTTCTTTTTATAAAACTGGGATTATGGGCTAGAGAGACGGCTCAGCAGTTAAGAACAGTTGCTGTTCTTGCAGAGAAACTAGGTTTAGTTTCCAACACACACATCAGATGACTTACAATGTACTGTAACTCCAGCTCCATACATGCATGTGGTGCCCATGCAGGAAAGCCGGCACACATAAGTTAATAAAACAAGTAAAAAAAAATAAATACACACCTTTCCATTGTTTAAACAAATACTCTTTAGGGGACTGGAGAGATAGTTGATCAGTGAACAGTGCTTGTTCTTGCAGAGGACCTGGGTTCAGTTCCCAGTACCAATATGGTGGCTCACAGCCATCCATAATTCCAGTTTTAGGTAATCGGATGGCATCTTCTGACCTCTCTGGGTGTCAGGCATATAAGTAGTGCACATACATACATTCAGGCGAGTCATTCATGCATATAAAATAAACCTAAAAGAAACTAAAAGTTAAAAAACATTTTTTACAGTCACAGTATTTGTATATATGACTGCATGTACACATGTATTGCTTCGAAATTGGAAATTTTGTTTTACATTCAGAAAAGACATTCAAAGGAAGAAATACTGGGACACAGTGATTGAATGTGTGTGTGTACACGTGTGTACGTGTGTATGTATGTGTGTGTAAAATAGCTGGAGATGTGGCAGAATGCTAGGTACTCAGCATTGCCCCCCCCCCAAAAAAAAAGAAAAAGAAAGAAAGAAAAGAAAAGATTATTTGACAATTGGGATTGTCAAATAGTGAGGCCATGTCTAAATAAATAAATAAGTAAATAAGTCAGGATTAAAATCTTCAGCATTTTTAAGGTTTGATGTTTGAGAAGCCAATAAAAGAACAGTGGAAACAGTGAAGTAAGTTGTATACTTATAATTTTCATTCTGGAATGTGAATTGTATTCACATACACAACATAATGAGAATGTTTGGTCTGTAACTCACTATGTAAATGAGGCTGGGCTGGAATGCAGTGATCCACCTGATTCTGACTCCCAAGTGATGGGGTTAAATGTATGTACTACCACACCTGACTCTCCTACTGAGATTAATGAAGACCCTTACTATATAGATCAACTTAATCTTTCCCTAAACTCCTAAAAATCAGTCTACATTTCAGATGGCAAGCTTTCTGCTTCACGCTCTTTTCAAAAGGTTTCTTTTTTTTTTAACTTTTGGTCATGAATCAGAGTTTAAAGGGCTAATTCTGAGTTTTTGTTTTTTAATGTACGGATTACACAGTTTTACAAACTGACTATAACTCCCACCCCCACTTTTCCCAGGAGAATGGGAAATTATCTTTAAAACTATATATCATAAAATATGCCTGTCAATATTGCTGTTCTATCATTCATTTTGGGTGATTGCTGTTATGTAAGTGACCCCTTCAAAACTAATCTGTGATTGTAATTGTTAGTTCTTTGGTTGCTGTGATAAATATCTGAGAAACACTTTTAGAAGACGAAGGTGTGTGTGTGTCTGTGTGTCTGTGTCTGGATTTGAAGTTTCAACTAAAGGTTGGCTGGATTCACAGCTTGGGTCTGAGGTAAGACAAAATATTGTGACAATGTGTGGGGGAAGACGGAAACAGCATCATATGCAGAGACAAAGAAGAAACTAAGGACAAGGAGTGCCAAATGATAGGCACCCTACTTCTTCCAGCCTCAGCCCAC